CTTTGTATCAACAGTACATGTCCCACAAAAATCAGCAAACAATAATCCTTTTATCTTTTTTTTGTATTTCCCTTATCAATTTGTTTTTTTAAAAGAGCAAATGCTAACACTAATTCAAATATATTCTTTATAGTTTTCATATTTAACAAAGTTCTAAAGCAACTAAGTTAGTTATTTTAAGAATTACACCTTTTACATACACTCAAGTCACTTTTATATAAAAAAATATAATTACTCCTTATCAACTGCCTACAATAGATAAAACAAATTAAAAATAATTTGTATCTTTGTAGAATTTTCATGGTATTTTTAATCATCAGTAACTTATTCCACTGAATCATGTGATAAGATATGCATTTTTTAACAATGTATGCCCTTACCCTTGTTCTGTTCCTTAATATGTCTAATTTATGCATTACTTCTGCACTCGAACTGTTTGCAATAAAACTAGGCAAACCAGTTGTACCCTCACCATTAACAGCTTGCACCAGACGCATTTCAGTTGCTAAGCACTGTCGAACATAATTAAACAGCTGCATAGGATTTCCACTGCAATATGAATTACTCAAATTACAACAAAAAAAATGAGATAGCAACTACAAATAAACAAAACACCTTAGTTGTAAATAACATATTTGATATCAATTAATCTAAGCAAATGATCAGCTATTAAAGTTTGAAAAAAAGCATTTTCCTAACCTGTATCGTTGTCGGAATACTTTAGCTGCCTCAGCTAATTTTATTTTAGTTAGGAAAAATTCTTGACCTGCAACAACAGCAGCTTTGTTTTCAATTTCCTGAATAAGTTGATTTATTAAATTTGCAACATATTGTTCATGTTGAGGGTTATCGGGTGAAGGATCTACATCAGACCTGAAAAAAAAACTTATTTCATTAACATGAACAGACAAAAAATGTCCTCAACTTACCAAAACTTTTCTTCTATCCAGTGGGCTAAATAATGTCTTACTTCAATAGGGAAATGGTCCCCATATATTGCACGAATCTGTTGCAAACTATCAGGGGGAAGTTGCTGTGCTTTTGTCCAAAGAGCCATGTCTATTAGCTAACTAACCTTAAACATTGGCGAATTAATAATTAATATTTAGTTCTTTCTAAAAATTAATGAAACAACAATATCAATAAACTTGCAAACATGAAAAAATTATATTAACATAAGATCAAGGTCATTTCGGAGCGGGACATCAGTGCGTTGCAAGATAAAAATGGTTTTGTTCAAACAAACTTACCTACCTTCTGTACGTGGTATGCTATCAACTATTATAAAGCGAAAAATTAGGCACTGACTCGTTAAATGTAACAACAATATGTTTCCTATTTTGTCTGATACTTCGTTTTATAAACTATATTTCAATTTATTTAAATATAAAACCTAATAATCTTTGCATTTTGCAAACTCAACCACACAACAGCCATTTCTAAATAATGCTGTAGTCTGAAGTCACGTGATCAGAATCAAACAAACTTATTACACCTTTTTTGAACGGCAACGATGTACAACAATTTACAGCAATAAATTTACACATTCGCCCATATTTACATTGCAGTATTGATAATATTAGGCTCTTTGATAAATACTTGTTAAGATAAACTGATAAAAATAATTTGAACGTTTAATAAATGATTAATTTATATACTTATGTATCTTTATAAAATAAATAATTATGCTTTTTTTCACCATTTTAGATNCTATTTTACTAAAATAATTATTGTCTACAGCGTACAGTAATAATTTTAATTTTAAACATTTGCTTTTTTCAGTAATGAAAATATTATTTACTGTTCGTTTTCAAACAGGCTTCTATCTTTTAGGATAGCACAAAACGTTTGTTTTTTTAATTAATTTGAATTAATATTAGATACTGCGTATAGATACGTAAAAGTACAACTGAGAATTTAGAAAAAACATGGAAAATCAATTTATTGATTACGTTCCAACAATTTTAGTATAACAAAAACAATAATAAAAAAATTTTAATAGGTACTAACATCGTTGCCATATTTATTGTTTTATTTTGAAGACAGTAACTTCTATGTTTATTAAAGCAGAAAAGAATTCTTTCAACGTAAGCTATCAACAAAAAGAAGTTAATTTTAACATTTTATCTCCTCATTTATTTTTTATTAGGACCTCTTACACTGATAAGAAATAATTTTGCTTTTAATTTTACCGACATGTCTAATTTTTGAATTCTGCGACCAAATAGCAAAAAAACAGAATCTGCCCGTTCGTTTATCGATATACCCTGTTCTTGGGTTTTTTTCATTTTTAAAAACTTTTTTTAAGCAGTTTCGTCTTTTATCGTAATTTAATTTTTTTTATATCTCGGGAAATTTGCCCTTATAAACACTGACTGGGGTATATAGAACATAATATAGGTACGGCGTTAAGCGCACATGTATAAAACATAACAAAACATAACAACCAATAAAATTGAGCATTTATTTTATAAAGGTCATACCTCAGTTATCATTGCCAATGGAGTGTACACAAGCTCCATGAAAACTTTATTTCAAAAAGGATATTATCCCCCTTTCGTTTCCAAATAGTTTAAATATTTGGAAGTCTGAAATTCTTCAATAAGAATAAAATTCAATAATTTAAATTATGTGAAGTAGGAATAAAACAAGTAATTTTTTCAATTAGGAATTAAAATCTCTTTATTGATTAAATTTTTCAGAATGACAAAATTCATTAAAGAATCCAACATCCCTGATAGTATGTTAATCTTTTAGCCGCGACTCGCCCAAACGAAACTATTTTCGATTACTGTTGTTTCCAATAAACAACTTAAAAAGTACTCTGTCTGTAAAGTCTCATAAAAATCGGACATACAAGCTTAAAAAAAGACAGTTATTTTGACTTTACAGACAGACATCAATTTTATGTATATTAAAATAAATTGAACACACAACATAAAGTATTTATTATAAAAATAAATAACATTCCATACTGTATAAGTTAAAAGAAAAAGATAACAACTGTATATATATTTATCTTGATTATAAACTATTGTAAAGATCGACAAAACTTAGTCAATAAATAGCAAAAATAATATCAGTATCATCATCATCGGCATTCTGAATAATACCATTGATTGTTTTTTAAGCCTTTAACAATTTTCCTAAGTAAATCTTTGATACCGTCGTACGTACTGAAACTTATTCCTACTGCTATAGGTCCTTTTATCCAGTTCATTGATAGACCTTTAAAAAATCCTCCTATAATACCTTCACGCCTATAAAAAAATACAGCAGTCAGAAGTTTAATTATAGTCAAGTACAACAGCAGAAATTCCAAAACAACTAAATATTTCAATTTCATGTCGAAGAAAGTACAAAAGAAACCTTTTGAGTTAATCCTCATATATATTATAAATGAGTTGTATTTTTAAAAGTGTGTATTTGAAGTACGGCCCTATGCGAGTGCAAAATTTACACAGCGAAAAATTAAAAGTTTGAAGCCATTAAGTAGTGCCATAGGAGAAAGATGAAAACACTGTATACAGAAAAGATTAAAAATGAGGAGCTATCAAAAATAGTCAGAGAGCGCTATGGATGTTAATAAGGAAAAGGATAGGATGGTAAGAAACCTTCTGAAACATAAAGGAATATTAGAGGCAGATACTGGAGTACACAGGAGTAGAATAGATTAGATATTAAAACAGATATAGTTAAAATATTGGTATTGATTTTACAGCCCCCCCTATGAATTGTATTGTAAAAAAAACTTTTTTAAATAAAAAACAATACGTTAGTATTCTCCGTTTAGTAAACTAATTCTATCAGAAACCACTGTGTAACCTATATAATTATAATTTTATTTCTACATCAAAATCTTTTTTTTGCAATGGAACTTTTAAAAAGTGTTATTAAATAATTTTTTGAAGCCTGTTATATTTACTTGACAAATATCATTGCTTTACATTACTACTGATAAGATCAGATAAAATGTTTAAGTTCCATAAATTGTTCAAATTTTCCTTCCATAAATAGAAAAGAAATTTAATTATTTATAGTTAATAAATACCGATTAGGGCCCCAAAATAATTTATCATTTATCATTCATTTGAAGTAAAAAATAAAAGTCACGATTTTGGTGCAACTAACGCCCAGAACTACGCCATACGTTAGATAATATTTATATTTATTGGACTTGTTATCTTACTTCATATTTAAATTGACATACGCAATAGTTAATGATAAAGGCCAACTACTTGTAGAAACAGAATGATATGGAATTTAAGACAAGTTTTGTACTCATTCTATTAAATTTAAGGAATAAAACTTAAGTTATGAAGGATTCATAACCCTATGAATATTATTTTTGTAGGCAAACTCTCAAAGTTTGAAGTTTACCCCTAATTTATAATAATATAATACCTACTGATATATTGTACTTAATGTTCCTAAAATCGTTTTGTATTCCTTATTGCTATCTGTTTGCATTCTTCTTCGTACAATATCTAATGGATAACTACTGGTCTGGCCTAGCATTCCTGCCACTGCACCAAATCCTAATGTGACTAATGGATTTACAGTTGGATCATTATTTACGTTTGCTGAAAATTATAAACAACTTTTAACTGATTGTGACACTAATTCAGTGAAAACTAAAAATTTCTGGACTCATTTTAATGTTTTTCTTTTATAATAATTTTGGACATTTACAATTAATGAACAAACTTTTTACCTTTATAAAATTGTTTTAAAGTTTCATAAGTAAGGAATGATACACCAGCATAAGGAATTACTCCAATTACTGTTGGAAAGTATCCTTTATAAAATGCAGTAACACCTTCAGTTCTATATATCTTTTTAAATACCTACAATAAAACTAATATGATAAATAACTATTATGACCTTTGTTGATATTTACCTCTCTCAATGTAGCATAAAGATCCTTTTGAGTAACTGCCATTCGAGCACGAGCTAAATCTAGGGGATAGGTAAGAGACTGAGATGTTACACCTGCCAAAGATCCTGCCAAAAATTGCTTTCCTGGAGAAGGTCTAAAAAATTAGCCAAAATAATTATACTATGTTGCAATTTTACTTTCTGCATATGAATGATATAAAAGAATACTCAATACAATTGTGCTTACTCTTCTGGATTAATTTTTAATATTTTCTTCCATTGTTCATGAGCAGTAAATTGAATAGAGGCATAGGGCACTATTCTAGCCATTGTAGCACTATTTCCTCGCCATAATCCAAAAAAACCTTCCTTGTGAAAAGTATGTTGTAAAAATTCAAGAGCTTTTTTGGCAGAGTAAGGTTGTTTTCTATGGGTATTATGATGTTTAGAAACAAATTTACATCAGAAAAAAAGGCAGTGAAACATACATACCTAATTTGAAAGTTAATTTTTGTGCGATCTAATGGAGCTATGGTTGTTTTTGCTAAGGCACCAGCAATTGCTCCAGCACATAAACTTGTGAGCACTATTTCTGTATTGCCTAATTTATTGACTTTGTTCTTTTGATTAATAGAATGTTCCATATTTGGGGAAGACAGTTCAGGTTATTTTTATTCTTGATTTTAGAGAAATACCTTCATTATTGATAGATCACAAAACAAACCTAAAAAAAGTAGGTTTCATTCTAAAAGAAACACCAACAAAGCTTTTACTTACCCACACATGTTTCCACAGAATATATTGTGCAGGTAAGTGATATAAAAATATAATTCACAAGTATTTAGCACTTGTAACTGCAAATTCATGTTATAATGACCAAAGGTCAAATACCGACCTTCTCACTATAACTTGTACAATACTATTTTGGGACCGTCCTGTATTTGTGAAAAACGATATAATTACTACATTTTCACTTGTAACAATAACTTTACAATTCGAAAAATCAATGTTCACTTCGGCTCACACTTCTAATCAATTTCAAAATGGATATAATAGGTTAATACCTATTATTCACAATTTTCTTTCTCTCTGTCTGTAAAAATAGAACAAATTTATAGAAGAAGTAAACAACAAACATAGATAACAACTATCTGGATAACCTGGATAACAACAAATAACATGTGAGTCGATACAACTGTGGTTACAGTAGAGCTAAAAGTTACAGTAACTAGACGTAATTACGAAAACAAAATAGAAAGGCAATATTTCACAAGAAAATTTATATATTTAAAGTAAACTACTGGAAACGTAAAAATTTTAAATCCTATAAAGTGGAGCAATCTTCTACAGATGATATTCACTACTCTGTTTGCAGTAATTCAAATATTATTATAGATATTAAATATTTGTAAAATATAACTTATGAATTGCTCATCTCTTTTGGTTAGTATTTAAATATTAAGTAAAGCCATTGCTTAAATCGATAATCTATATGGTGAGTATTTAAATATGAAGGGTCTACATTGTAATATGAATAGTCAATATTTAATTCGAAAACAAAAAAAGACAAACCTTAATATTCCAACTAACTAACAAATTAACAAACCTTAGCTAATAAGTAAATAATTAACCCATTGACTAATTGATTTACGTATTGTATTTTCATGCTGACCATTAAAATTGTTGTCATTTACAAAGATGTTAAGTAAAGTTAGTAGGTGTGAATTAAGTGGAACCTCGAAGGCCCATCTGCGAAACATTCAGTGTTATTAATAATTTATATTTTTAATGAGTTTAAATGAATGAATTACGAATCAGTCTCATTAGACACAGTGTAACTGCGAGTATCTGTTAAATGTTACCATAGGTATGACGATCGAATTATTTTTATCTATGATGAAAACCATAGATTAATAAAAACATTTATTTACATATGTCAGGTGTTAGTATTTAACCCAATTTAACAGCTGAAGGAAATAATTTTATATTATATATTAACCGTTAACTGGAATAAAATGGTATGATTTAAAAATTTTTACTTAGTATTTATACAAAATACAAATATTAAATATTTTGTAGGCCAGATATTTTAAGGAACAGGATATTGACGGTGAGTATGTTTGGAAAACTAGCAATTTCTTTGTCAACCTGTGACTAAATACATAATGTATGTTTTACATTTTTAGAATTCAGAGAATGTTTCTATTTATTTGCCCGATCAGGACAGATTAAGTCACTTGATGAACTTACAGTAATCATGAGAAGCTTGGGGTTATCACCCACTATATCAGAATTAACTGCATATCTGAAGCAAAAGGTAAGTTATTTCTATATTATTAAGGGAATTTCTGGTCAGATCAACTCTAGAATTTTGTAAATTGACATCAGAAAGAAAGAAACCCTGTCAGAGTTCATTTGTGTCTATTGTAATACTGTACAAATGCTTTTCATATTTCAATTATTTTGTCATTACAGGAAGTAATGTCAGATTCTTTAATGTTATTCTTGGTTTAAATTGCATTCTGAGTGTGTTATTGTTTTACCAAATCTAGCCCATACTTCAGTTGTGTAGATTTTTATTTTGTCAAGAATTTCCCAACAAACTGTGTAGGTATTGTATGTTTAATGAAATGCTACACTAATCAATTCAAATCAAAAATTTTCTTAAGGAATCATTTACACAAATTTTTAGTTACCACTACCATAAAGAACTTACCTACTATTTCTATTAAATTAGCTGTGATATAACACATTGAGTTGTAAATTCTATTTGTAAAGTGGATACCTTCATAAGGTCCTTATCAAACATTTGAAATTCTTCAGTTAGCAGTAAGTGTCAGTAGATGACGGTATAATACTAATAATTTGATGTTACATTTTATGGACAACTTCGGTTTGGTTGGCAATTTATTGAAGCCACTTATGGCGTGTTGATTAGAATTAATCATTTTAAATCCACGATCCTGGTCTGTCGTCTGATAGTTTCAATAAATTGTTGACAACGAACTTATGCTCTTTATATACGGGTACACTACATTTATAAAACGGAATTTGACAAAAGTAGAAAATTATCCTATTTTTCTTCTGATTCTATATTCATTTTACATTTCAGCAAGGAAAAATGTCGTTTGCTGATTTTTTGGAAGTTATGCATGTTCATTCAAGAGTCGAAGATATACCTAGAGAAATTATTAATGCATTTAAAGCTGCCGACCCTGATGGTACTGGTGTAATTCCAGCAAAACAACTACGACATTTATTGCATAACTGGGGTGAGTGTCTCTCTGGAAAAGAAGTGGATAGAATTTTTCGAGAGGCTAATGTTAACCCAAACAGTATGGTACAATATGAAGACTTTGTCAAAATAGCATGTGCCCCAGTTCCAGATTATTATTAAGCACTTAAGAAAATTAATCTACGCAGATTATTTTTAAAATATTATTTAGTGGTTGTGGTTTTCTTATTTTTATCAGTTTTATTAATTGGAATTATTTTTTGTTCTATTACTATTGATAAATATACTAAAGACATTTGAACTTACAACTATATTCAGTATTACAAATGTTTCTATTTATATGTATACGCTTACTCATCTATAATAATAAATTATTTTGGAAAGGTACCTACTTTGATTGATTTTTAAATGGATTTAATGAAATGCAATTATGCTCTCATCGGAAACTAATAAGTCGGGAATTCCCTGACGATGAGTTGACTTCCAATGTATATAAAAACGTTTTCGGTATTTGATTAAAGTCGATATGATTTACAATTTTGAATAAATAAAAAAAATAATAGAATTAGTATTCAAAGTTATGAATGTATGTATATGTATTTCAAAAACAAAAAAACAGGAATGTTTTACAAATTGTAATAAAGAACAACGCGGCCATTAACAACAGGTTTATAAAAGATGACTATTATTACATTAATTAACTATTTATATTTATATAATATTTGATAATTGATGAATTAATGTTCTTTGGCGAATATGTATTTTATAGGCAACCAACAGTGATGCTATTTAATGCGTTTAGCATAATGATGTAAAGCTCGGGAGGAAAATAGTTAACTTTTTTCAAATACCTGGGTACTAAAATGAAATTCTGAAATAAAATTGTTTCGTACAATATTTAAAAGAAACAAAATTAGAAATATAGACCGCTATTAAATTCAATAGAATTACAATTAGCCATTAATTATTTCTCCCTACATACTTTTAAACAGTAACTTCTCTTTGGTTTGACGAAATTATTTTTCACTTGCATTTTTTCATTAAATTACCACAAAAGATGTCTTTGACACCGATTAATGTTATTATAAAGTTATCTTTATTGTTATTTTATTTATTCATACAGCAATATATAAAGAATGAAATAATTTTTATACTAGACCCTTTTTATAATCCTTTAATTATGTAAAAACAACTCTTCACAAACACAGAAGTATAAATAAATACATTTAGTTGGTCTAGCATAATGCAGTCTAAATCTCATGAAGTTTGATAAGAATAAATAAAGTTGTGCCGAAATATGGCAATTCAAATGCAATGTTAGATATATTTCGAACACAACTAATGTGCGTTTGTTTTATCTGTTTATAGCAAAACGGACAATATGTTTAATTTAAAAAAACTGAAGGCTAATCTAATAATAATAATAATAATAATCTATCTATAAATTGAAGACGCGATCAACATTATTAAAGATAGTACAACTGTAGAGATAGATATACAGGGGCAAAAAATTAGTATGCTTAGATTTGCAGATGATATAGCAGCATTAGCATCTAGCAAAAACGAGTTAGAGATAGCTTTAAATAAAATAAAAGCGGTACTGACAAAACAGTATTGTATGATTATAAACAAAAGTAAAACAAAAATACTGGTATGCAAGGGAAGAAAAAGTAGGGAAAGAGCGAACATAAAGATAGGGGACGAAAAATTAGAATAAGTGGTTCATTTTAGGTATATAGGAAGTCAGATAAGTCAGGACAGAAGAAGTAGTAGGGATATGAAGCAGATGATAGCACAGGGTCGTATCGCCTTCAATAAAAAGAAGTCACTTTTATTCTCGCGAACGATTAATTTAGAAATTTGAAAAAGGTTTTTAAAGGTGTATGTTTGGAGCGCGGCGCTGTACGGCTGCGAAACATGGACAGTGGGCGCGGCAGAAAAGAAAAGGGTAGAAGCGTTCGAAATGTGGTGTTATAGGCGAATAATGAGGATACCATGGATAGAAAAGGTTAGAAATGAAGAGGTATTAGAAAGAATAGGAGAAAAGAGGACCCTATGAAAGTCAATATGAAATAGGCGAGACAGGGTAGTTAGATAGACAACTTTTCAGGCATAAAGATCTAGTCAGAGATGTATTAGAGGCCGAAACGGGAGTTAGGAGGGGTAGAGATATCCTTAGATTAGATTACTGTTCGTAAATAGTTAAGGATGTAGGTTGTTCCAGTTTTAGGAAAATGCGAATTAGCTCAGGATAGGACAGAGTGGAGGTGCGTGTCCAACTAGTCTTAGGACTGACGACCTTATAATGATGAATCAAATAATAATTTATAATTCACAATACATTCACATAAATACGTATCAATCAATGTGTTACATATTACTAGATTTATCATGTAGTCAATGAAAATAATAAAGAATGGAGAATTGTGCTAATTTTTATTTAAAATGCTTTTGTTGTATGTTTTGCCATACGTAGGTTTCTTTAAGTTGTAGTATAAACTACTTATCATAAAATAACAGCAGTGCCTTCGTAAAACATCTTAATGTTAAAAAGAATAAATGAAGATTTTGATTTAAAAAAAAAGCAAATAAATATTTTTTTGATATCTGTTGTTTGTCTGTTAATAGAAAATACATGTAACCTCTGGTTAGTACTGCTACCTTGGGGATAGTTGTTAACCTTAATATAAATAATCATAGATNAGTGGTAGCCCTAGATTAGATTACTGTTCGCAAATAGTTAATGATGTGGGATGTTCTAGTTTTAGGGAAATGCGAAGATTAGCTCAGGATAGGAACGAGTGGAGGTGCGTGTCCGACCTTATGATGAGTTGAAAGCCAAAGTTAAGTTCTCTTTAGAACCACCCTAAACTGCCTAACATTTTTCTAGTATAATTTAATACAGTCGAATCTGGATAACTGAGAACTCGGTAAGCGAGAAAACTCCATTAATGAGAGAATGTACGAGGGTGGTTCAATAAGTACCCGTGAAGATACCATTTTTTAAAATTTGTTTTTTTATTTTTCAACATAGTCCCCTTTTAGAAAGATACACTTCTCCCAACGACCCCGTGGATGTGTTAATCNATATCTGTTGTTTGTCTGTTAATAGAAAATACATTATGGATTTTTCAGTTCATTTAAAGTTTTAAAAAGTTATAATTATAATAGCTGAAATCATTTTAGTATAAACCATATCATGATTGTGATATAACCAACCACCCTTACTATTCGATACAATTATTATCTGGTAGCAATAGCGGCTTTTGCATTGGCATTGGAGGCCATGTAACGACTTCTGCTTGATATTGTGATTACCCTGTAACCATAACGGAAACAGTCACGATTCTCGGAAAGGATAAAATGGTCCTTTTCCTTCAGCATAAGAAAATTTTACTGTCTTGCACAGCAATCAAATGTAATAGTCGGCCACTAGATCCATAAATATCTTTACGGAATTGCTTTTCTTATGCAATGAGAATCATGAATTTAGTATATTATTCAAAATTATTTTTAAATTTCTCTTATCTAGTTGTAGAGGAAATCTGCATTTTTTCAGAACATCACCGCTTAATATTATATAACAGGGATTTCTCAAGGAACTTCTCCATTTCTTTAAGCATACTTAGCTGGTTACTAAAAAATGCTTTCAGGATTTGTAACATCCCTATAAACTAATGGTACAGTTCAACTTACTATTTATATCGTAATCGTACGTTAAAGTCTTCCAAATTAACCTGAAAGCAACAACTAATTAAATTTCGTTTATCTATACAGTAGGAAATTTGTCTGCAGAAGTGAAAACCCCTTTTAATCATAAATTATGGACTACCTAGTCTCATAAAAAAATATATGTATTGTAACGCCGACTTACGCTGCAAAATTGGCCTCCACCAGAACTTCCTATAAGTACTTTATCAGAATATTATACAGCTTACCTGAAGATCCATTCTAAATATTGGTGAAAGAATTTTTGAAATCAAATGAGTAGTTTCGTAGATTGTCTTTTACATCCAAACAACAAACTTACAAAAACAGATAATATAATATAATATAATATGAGTCAACAAATATAAGTATAAACTTAATCAAAGCATTAAAAAAAACGGGAAAGCTGTGATAGGAAATAATGTCTCAAAGCTTTACCGTAAATAAACGACTAAACCAGGGATGCTATCTTTTTTCGACACTTATACACAATATACCTAGAATAAATGTTAAAATTGTGGAAAAGAAGACGAAAATTTATTTACTCTTCGTTTCGTAGATGATCAGGGGCTTACTGCACAGGATTACGTTGACAGAATATATGACTGGCAAAGTAATCGAAGTGTATCGTAAATGGAGAATTACAAGAAAAGATGTAGGTATACATGGTCGGAAAGTCAATACCGACGTTTAGCCTCTAAATGAAAGGTAGGGTAGAAGAAATGAATTTCTGGAGAAGAACCGCTGGAAGATTTAGACCAGGGGTCGACAAGTAATTTTAGGTTAGGTCCTAATGTTATTGAAAATTTTTATCGAGGTCCAGAAAAAACATGTTCCTTCCTCTAACACACGATAAGGGTGGCGCTCAAAGGTCAAACATATTTATTTTATTATCTACAGAATAATACTTTTTTAATACCTTATTTCAGTAATTTAATTTTAAAAAATTTTTGGCTGTCCTATTTTTGACCTTCCGGACCCGGACCACAGTCCACCCGTTGCCGACCGTTGATCCACTCTGTAAGAAATCCAAAATGATCAAATTATAGAAATTACGGACAAATATTAATTTGAAGTGTCATTCTCAATTTTTATTCACCATGAGTTACCTCAAATTAATGAAGAAAATTTTGTTACTGCTATCACACCCTTGCCGGGAGTCGAACCCGGGGCTCTTGGCTTTACCAATCATGGACGTCCCTCATGACATAGTCAAAGACACAAGAAGGAAACAACTTAAATGGTACGGTCATGTATAGAGAGTAGGGATCGGGAAGTTAACAAAACAACTTTTATTATGGACACCAAACGGCAGAAGAAAAAGAAGAAAATTTTTGCACTTAAATTCAAATTCTAAGCATTCCAATTTTGCTATTTGAACACGGATCCCTTGAATGACATTTTGCTAGTGGATTCGTTGGTCATAAAATAGGCCCATGTAGGGGTCCTCCCTGAAGTTAACTCAATCCGATATAATTATAAACGTAAAACTAAAATCGCAAGCATTCAACTTCATATAGCCCAAAACGCCTTATAGGTATACTTAATATAAAAATATCTATTACTTTCTCCAAATCGACTGTTAAATTACCTAGCCAAGAAAATTTGACTTTCTGGCCGAGTGACAATGAAAAATTGAATTTTTTATAGGTTTGCATTTACAATGAGTAAGTTTAACA